CCTCCCCCAGCAGACCAGGGAGACGCAGAGAAAAGCCGCGAGATGCCCCGCGGCCCCGCCGCCCGCGTCCTCTGGGGCGAGAAAAGCTGCTCTGCATCTCCCTGGTCTGCTGGGGGGGTCCCCCCAGCAGACCAGGGAGACACGGAGCGGCTTTTCTCGCTGTGGCTTTGCAGCAGACCAGGGAGACGCGGAGCGGCTTTTCTTGCCGCAGAGGATGCGGGTGGCGGGACCGCAGCGCATCTGGGTGGTCCGCCGCCCGAGTCCTCCACGGCGAGAAAAGCCCCGTTCGTATCTAGGGATCCAACGTATGTCGGATCCACGTAAGTCGGGGACTGCCTGTACTTCCTGTTGTGTGCTGAATACGATAAAGACATGGTCCCTGACAACTCACTAATGCTTCCACTTCTCTTCTCCCCGTCCCCACCAACTTCGTTTTAATGGTCAGTTTGCCAGAAATTCTTGCAGACCTACCCAGAGGAGCAGGATCGACTGTGGGAAGTGGAAGCACCGGGGGACTGGAGCCAGCGTGTTAGTATCTGGTTAAAGATTCAGCTGGAGCCAACCTTTTCAGAAAGTGAGTTACAAATAGTGTAGACTTTTCCTCCCAACTCAGGTGCACCTTCTCCATCTCCTCTGCAAGGAGAGCTGTCCCCTTCCCCTCCCCCTCCCATCCATGGTTCCCATCTCGGACTGCCAGGTGTCCAATTTTTGAGTGGAAAATCTGGTTGAAAAGGAAATTTTACATTGTGCCTAGTCAGATCTACTGACTGATCAACCAAAGTACTGTTAATGTGGGAGAAGGAGGCAGGGAGGAACCAGGTTATCACCCATGCTAGCCCCTACTCAGGTGGGGCTGCCTCTTACCTGCTTTGGGCATCTGCAACTCCCAGCCCCACAGGTGAGTCCTTCCTGACCTGGAAGGAAGGGAGGGGAAAAGCAGCAAGCAATAAGCAGGAAGAAAGTGGAGCAAATATAGGGGGTGGGACACCGGGGCAAGAGGTGGGGTGAGAGAAGTTCCATCACTCCTGCTTAAGTTTCTAATTTTTATTACAAAGTTGGCAACCATATCGCCATCCCTGCTAAGGGCGACTGGAATTGGGGCCTGTTTACCAACACCATACTCTTGTGGGAGAAAAGAGAGGCAAATGATATTTCATAGCATGGAACTCTTGAGGTGTGACCTTATCCAACCCTACCCACAGATCTCTAGCCACAGAGCTTGGATCTGTAAAGGGTTATTTGAGGACATGAACGTCTTTCAGATTTATTTCTTCTGTGTCTCCTTCCACGTTGCTGCATCCCGCCAGCATAAGGCAGCGTAGTTCAGCATCACCAAGTAATGTTGGTACATGTGACAACAGCCACCAAGATTAATGAGCTCCCCATCTTGTTCTGATTTTTTTGAACTGCACTGCTGCCCCCTTCCCACAGCACCAGGCACTGTAGAAGAAAGCTATTTAATGTCTGTTAACTGTGCGGCTCTTCTGCTGCTTACAAGGTTGTTTCTCAGAGATTTAGGAATAAATTCTTGTCATATAACATTGTAGAATTTTTATAGCAATATGTGTTCCAGAAAGGTTCCCACAAACCTGAGGTCAGTTTATGCAAGGATCTGGAGCTGCATCTAGTGGCAGCACAGAAGAACTACAGCACTCTGTGCACCAGAAATGGTACATAGGTTTGAGTATGCACACACCTGAGGGGGAAACCTAGATAGTTATGTTCTTTTCAATGTGTGTGAAATTTTTATCAATGTATAACTATAAAAAGAACGCTTTTTGGTACATCAGTACATGGAACTGAAAAATACTTTCATTTTTGTTGAAAAATCAGCCACAGTTAATTTATATCAAATTGTTTCAATAACAGAAAAGCAACAGCACTTGCCTACAGAGGCTGTTTGAAATGTGAACGTAATTTAAGATGAATATGCAGCCAGGCTTCTAGGTGCTGAACCAGTCAGTTCTGAAATGAGCAGTCCTAGACTAGTTGAGTGAAGGTATGTAAGATCTACAAATATAAAGTGAACATGAAAAGATAAGGTGGAGGAGCTACTGTCCTTTATCTGTGTGAGCTCCAAATCTTGTGTGTCTTACCAACAGAAGTGAGTCCAGCTAGACCAGACTAACATGGCTGCATCTCTATCAGTAAAAAACAGAACCACCCACACTTTGTCTCCAGGGACCAATAGGACTACAGCAGCATGGCATATGAAAAGATAAGCAAACTATTCTTGGACTAAATCCAGTGGGAAATAGCTGCTTTCCAGGCTTTAGGAGAACCATGAAAAGTCTATTGTCTAAAAAGGAACTTCCAGAACGGTGAATTCCCTGAGAAGTGGATTCCATTTAATGGAATTGGCTTCCAACCTAAGGCCAGAAAAGTTTGCAATGACTTTTTAGTGTAGCGAGTCACATTACGATGGAGGAATAGTCTGAGATTTTAACACGATCTTGGAATAGGATCGTGACAGCTTAATAATTAATTTTTTTAATCTCCACACTCATTTTACCCCAATTAATAGTCAGGAAACTAGATTCGTTCAGAGGTAATTTGTTGGACACTGGTAACATTAGACACCATGTTTCAAGTCTCAACCCTTACAATTCTTCTGAAATAATCAGAAAGAATTTGTTTACAATCACCTCAAAATTATCTTCACCTGCTGTTGCTCTATATCAAGACCCTTTATGTCAAGACAGTGGAGGCTCAGAAATGCCAAGTATAATTGGTTTTTCAGATGTAATTATAACTCACAAGAAGTGTAGATGTAGAAACTAAGTGCTAACTGTTCAGATTGTATCTACAGAACTAGCAGATGCTTCTCTTTGCAGGTAGTTGATACATTATTTACATGCAGAAAATTTTGTGTGTGAAAATGCCAGGTGTGGGGTTTTAGCACATTCAGATGGATGGCCCTGGAAGTATTTCAGGTGTCAGCAGCTGTCAGAAAATGGGGCTTTTGTTCAGACTAACCCTATGCATTTATCTTTTGTGGCACTGTCATCCATTGCACAATGTTCTTTTCTGTTACTTGGCTGGGTTAATTGTCAAAACTGGGGGAAAGGGACTGAAATTTTATTAGGACAGCATCTTACAGGTATTTTTGATCAACTGTCACCATGGAAGTTTTGAGTTTCATTATGCTCTTGCCCTCAGAAAACACAGTTCATCAGACTGCTTCAGAGCAGGAAGGGGGCTGTCCAGTAGAGAGACCTCAGGATGGTGAACCCAGATGCTTATGTGCAGGCCAGATTAATGAGGTACAGTGATTAATTTGTCATTTTATGATCAATGTGTTTTACCCCACATAGTGTGTCGGGGGGCCTACATAGGAGAGAGTGACACAAATAACCATGGATGATCTTCTATCACCGGGCCATTGATTTATTTGCTAATCTGTAATTGCTCAGGTTTGGAAGTTTTTTTTGTCGCCAAAACTGGGGGCTAGGTGATGAAGGACCATCATATGTGAAAGTTTTTACTTTACTCCTCACTGAGGTGTATGAGGGCTAAGAGAGAGGGGCCTACATAGGAGAGAGTGACACAAATAACCATGGATGATCTTCTATCACCGGGCCATTGATTTATTTGCTAATCTGTAATTGCTCAGGTTTGGAAGTTTTTTTTGTCGCCAAAACTGGGGGCTAGGTGATGAAGGACCATCATATGTGAAAGTTTTTACTTTACTCCTCACTGAGGTGTATGAGGGCTAAGAGAGATGGAATGCACAAAATCCTAGTAGTAGGTCTGTTGCGATGGCTTTCTGAACTGACCTACAGAGACACTTATACATAGTAGGTGGAATGGTAACAAAGCCTGTATTGAAGTTGCTTGGCACTTTGCAATTATAACTCCCTCTTTTTAATCACTTCAATTGGGAATCTGCCCACACAGCTCATTGCAGGATCATGGCCTAAAATGACCTTGGCAATGTGAATGGGTCAGTTCTCCATAAACACAATAAAATATACTGGAGGAAACAAATTAAAATAACAAAGATCTTCAAATAATAAAGAAGGCAAGGGGCAGAAACAAAACGGTAACATTTAAGAACCATGGTTACTGTGTTTACTACTCTTCCATGAGGTTGCCACCCAACAATTATTTGAACTAAATCCATTTGTTTTTTTCCTTAATACAGACAATTCTGAATACTTGTGCACGGTATCAGGAATCTATTGTATACAAACAAAATGGCTATATTTTGAGGTCCCTTTTGTTTCTAAGGTATCTCAGTTTAGGATCACATCAGAGCTTTTTCACCTTTCATAACATCAGAATGATCCTTATGTCTTGGTTTTAATTTCAGGGAGGTGTACGCATTCCTGGTATTAGGATAGTGGCACAAGAAGCCAGAGACAATAAAGATAATACAGCAGGAGACGCAAGGACATTATCCCTGCACATTTCCAAGGAGGAGGACTTGAGTCAAGGTACAGCTGATAAGCAGCAATGTAAGGGATCTAGGAAAAGAGCAAACACTGTGAGCCAGCTTGAAGACCAGGCTGTTAAGCATCTCCGAATGATGCTTTAATTGCCTAACTCAAGGAGCAAGAGCCATTGTGCAGTTGTAAAAGGCTAAAAATAATAGACTAAAATAATCATAATCTTTAACCACACTGAGATTTTTCCAGATTAGTTACAAGTGCTATTCAAGGCAAATACTCTGAATCTTGATGCTTATTTAAAAAAAAAAAAAAAAAAAAAAAAAGATTGTTTTTCTAGTTCTTTTCTTTTGCTTCTTTCCTTCCAGGAAATTAAATAGTAGTCAAGTCTTGTTATTTTCCTGTTCTGAAAAGGTTTTAATGGATTGCGTTAGATGTCTAGAAAGAAGTAATTAGGTGACTGGTAGATACTGATGTAAAAAGATATTTCTATGGAAACAACATCTTGTATTATTGGAGAGAGGTACTTTAGTACAGGTTGGTATCAGAACAACGGCTGTATAACCTACCTTTCAAAAAAGAATAAATGATCTGGAAATACTTTCAGCGGAACTATTCCAGGAGAAAAATCTGCCTTCAGCTATAAAATGGACAGGAGGGGGCGGGGAACAAAAAAACCCCCATGGTCTACATTAATGCAGAAGTTTGGTATAGAGAGAAAGCTACAGGACATAAATTGCTTTTTAAGTTTAGACACTGAGATCATGTTGTGTATATAATTTGAGACACAGATGTAGGAACTTGGTGTGGATTGCATTTCTCAAGTATTGTATTTGATGTGGGCCAGTTCCTAATGCTTTACATTAAAAGAATATATATTGATAGATAATGTATCTCTCCAGATTGCACATGTTATAATGTGGTTAAAAAAAATCCCCCTCACCTTTCAGTCCCCAAGGTAGTCAGTATGGTGCTGTCCTAGCTTAACTTACTGATGTATCAAGAGCGCTTTATTTACAGTTACATAAATCAATGCAAGGCAGTGCTTAATTTGACCCTTAGAACCAGTGTCCACCGCAGCACAAAATGTATGTACCAGGTTCCACGTCACCATAGTGGATGTTGCTGATTTGGGTTGGGATCCCTTTTTGGGACTGTCTCTGATGTGCTGAGATGCCACTGAGCCTGGGCACCCAGTAAAGCTGTCTTGCTGAGCCCAGGTCTCCACCCTACTTCAGCACAGACATACATAGGAAAGGACTATGTGGCTCTGTAATACACACAGCAGACAATACAGCAAGGGACAAATCCTCAGTACTTGGAAATGCAGCCCCTCTGGGAGCTGAACCCCAGATAAAGCTGTCTTACGCAGTATGGAATTCCATGCAGAGCAAGCTCATGAAAATTCATCCTCTTTCTCGATGTTCGGA